CAGGCAGGCAGATGCAGAGGCAGAAAATGTTATTGTTACTGATATTGTTAGATTCTTGATGGTGAATGTTATTTGACACCGTTCTAGTGACTTTGAAATATGAGGATATTCTCATACTTCCACCAATTCCACAAATGTTCCTTTGACAATTTTTCTGCTTTTGTCCGAGAGACAGGAAGAATTTGGGCTTTTCCTGATAACCTAAGACCGTTCATTTTTTTGCTTTAAGTATACCGAATACAATCTAGGTTTTGAGGCTGTTACTGAGAATCTCAACATTTGGTACTTTCCATACCTAGGAATCAATACCAAGACACGTAATCTACACGTTCTACAGAGCGACAACTCCACCAAGAAGGCCATCGCAATCCATTCAATTTTAACGACGTGGGCGATATACATATGTAGTTGTACTATATTAATATTCGTTAATAGAGTAAGTAGTTTCATAACCATTTCTATGAAAAGAGGTTAGTAATGGATTTTGTAAGTAGACTATATACTGACTATACTGACTGTGCTGTGATATTTTTATTGTACAATTTCATTACTGGGATTAAAATTAATGTAAAATAATGAAAGCATAACGAAATAAAAGATTGAAACGATGAATGAAAAATTATAATTATAAATGAGAAAGGAGTTGGTCTAACAAATATTCTAAGTTTAATGGGTGAGAAGTGAGAAGGGGAAAAGAAGGCAGAATCAGATAATTCACCGTCCCAAGTAACTCGAGATAAAAACAGGAAGAAGTCTAGATTTGTTTTGTGGTTACGTAGTTCATCATCATTAACAGCCTATAATACCCACTGCTGAGCAAAGCCTCTTCTCAAACGGAGAAGGTTTGAGCATTAATCATAAGCCCAGGTTTCCTCACGATGTTTTCCTTCGCCGTTTGTCAGTGGTGTCTAAATAATCTAAGAAAGTACATATAACTCGGAAAAAGTCACATCGGTACTTGCCGTTGGTAGGTTTCGAACCCGCACCCTCATGTATGAGAAGCGGGCGTCTTAAACCTCCGGGCCACCACGACACTTACATATACGTATTACCTACGTAGTTCATCATCTTTTAAGGGTCGATTCTTCCAACGCCAGACGAATTTTAACAAAAGAATAACTTTGAACAATACCTAATTTTAAACAACAATCCTTCCATACTAAAAACGGTCAAATGTCAATTTTATTCTACAGTTTAAAAATTAACTGATCATTGAAAAATCATCCTTATGTATGTTATATAATACCTATTAATGTTCTTTCTATCTTCGACTCGGGAAAATCGTATTATTATTATACACGGCCACAGTTTCGAAAATCTCAGTATTCTCAGTATCAGCATTATCAGTATTTTTAAACGACTGCTTACCTATCAGTGGTTGGGTAATCTATAAGTACGTATGACTAATAATTATTACTTTTTTTTTTGGTTTGTTTTTAAATTGACGACGTGGCTCGACTCTAAGTACATCCTTGACTTTCTCTGTGTTGCGGGAGCTTTTACGGATACATCATCTCACTCAAATTAGGAATATATGTAAATGTGTGGATTACTGAACTAAGTAAGAGTTTGAGACTCTCTGGAGTCAGTGGAGGACTCATTGGATGATTTTCCTCTGTTAAAAAAAATCAGTCGCCCATATATTAGTTTTTTGAGAATAAATTGGTGTTTATTGTAGTTTATTTTAACTACATATCCAATACTCACATTATAATATTTATTAATAAAGTTATCATTTATTAGTATCAATCTAAGTAAGCAAAAATGTCTGAGGTTAGGGTGATAAAGTTCAGTCGGTTTATGACTTTGTAATATGCAATTTAAGAATACAAGAACAAGAAATCCAACTGTTTTAACTACTTCCGTTGCATCTGGACTTTAACATAAAATTTTATGTCAAATATCATATAAAACCTGTTTGCTGCAAGAATTATAAAATAATCTGATTATAGGTATCAAATGCATTTTGATAAGTCTATATAATGTCTTGGTCCAATAATGATGAACTTGTTCCCCGGATTTTATAACATATCTAACTGACGAGTAACTACTTCAATTGTTAGGGTACGTCCACATCTGGCGAATGTGCCGCTCGCGCGCCGTTTTCAACGCGCCCACTAGCGCGTGTGCAGTCACGGCAATGGTTTGGTGCTCAACTCACACAAGGTTTGTATAAAGAATAATTGTAAATGCACGTGCATTTACAATTATTTATTATAATTTATTTCATTAATGTTAGGTCAAAAGATTTACATGTCATATACCTAACTTTCTTAAAAGAATTTAGGACATCTTAATCATAATAATTTGGGACTTCAAAGTTAAACGTAAGTAAGTAAAAGATGTTTCTTGTTTATAGAATATAGCTTATCTCATTGTACAAAAATATGTGGCGCTTCTGCAGTTTCCTTTTCGTTGTACTAATCATGAGGGCTTTGATTGATCATCACTGTCAGTTGCAGGCCATCGACGTAAAGGTGACGCTCGCCTCCAGCTTAATTGCTTTACTAATGTGCAAATATGTAGTTGGGGTATACATATTTTGGTAGTACCATACTATTTAGAAACATAAAATCAATCGTTTTGTCTTAGGTGTGGCTTATAATAAACATTAATATTGTCCGGTACATAAATTGGATGATCTTTAACATTCTTCTGATTTCATTGATGAATATGGATAAATAAGTAAAATACAGAAATATTCTTTTGTTTTTATTTTTCGTTCATTGCATTACGAACATACAAACATTATTTACAGTTTATTATTGACTAACAATAAATATTAACAACTTAGTGTTTACCAACCGTAGTTGGCTCCGATTCCGGAGTAAGTGACGTGGGAGACGGCAGGTGCGGCGGAGTAAGTCACGGCGGATTTCAGGACGGGAGCAGCAGCATAAGTAGCGACTGCCGGGGCAGCGTAGGTCTTAGCTACTACGGGAGCGGCGGAGTAGTGGGCAACCGCGGGAGCGGCGGAGTAATGGGCAACTGCGGGAGCGGCGTAGGTTTTAGTTACCACGGGAGCGGCAGCGTAGGCCACAGGTGCGGAGTGGGATGAGTGAGAGGAGTAAGAAGAGTAAGACACTGGGGCAATGGTTTTAGCTACGACGGGAGCGGCAGCGTAAGTGGTGACGGCGGGGGCGGCGTAAGTCTTGGTGACAACGGGAGCGGCAGCGGCGTAGGTCACTGGTGCGGCGTGGGAGATTGAGGAGTAGGACACAGCAGGTGCTACTGATTTAGCGTACACTGGGGCAGAGTATACGGCAGGGGCTGAGGCATAAGTGTGGACGACTGGAGCAGAGTGGCTGGAGATAGACTGGTGGGAGACAGCCTTCGCGACGACGGGGGCAGCAGCATAAGTGGTGACCGCGGGGGCGGCGTAGGTCTTGGCGTACGCAACGGGAGAAGAGTGGGTAGAGATGGATTGGTAAGACACTGATGGTGCGTAGCTCTTAGTTACGACAGGGGCAGCAGCGTAAGTGGCGTAGGCAGGAGCGGCGTAGCTCTTAGCTACGACGGGCTCAGCTGCGTAGGTGGCGTAGGCGGGAGCGGCGTAGGTCTTGGCGACGACGGGAGCAGCGGCATATGTGGCGACAGGAGCGTGCGAAGTGTGAGAGGAGAATGACACGGAGGAGACGGCAGGCGCTGAGCTGTATGCCACAGGGGCAGCAGCTTCGAGAAGGTGGCCAGCGGAGGCGAGGCTCGCCGCGCACAGGAAGACTACGACCTAGAATAATAACACAAATAGATGATAATCTAATATTCGTTATTCCGCTAAAATTACATACACTAAAATGTATTATTAATCCATGTATTCATTACTGGCACAATTTGAATCACTTATTGTAGAAGGGCAAAAAATTTAAATACAATACAAAAATATTATCCTTAGAAAAATCTTTAAAATCAAAATATTATCACTGCAGTACCTTGGAGTACATGTTTGTATTGAGTGTTGTTGTCGAGTGTAATTTTTGGAGCACGTACTCTCGCTTTTATATCGTCGTCTGTAAACTGGTATTGGTATTGAATCCCAGGTGGATCAGCCGCGGGCACTTTCCGTTTCAATGTCAAGGTATCGAGCAAAATATAGGCAGTTGTGTAATCTGCCGGAGGCATTCGATTTCAACCAGTACCATCATATACCGTATACGTTTATAAGGAAGTTATATTCGGAAATTGGTGTAAATAAAATTATTCAACGGCTTTTGATCTCATTAAACATTAAAAATGATTTATTTTGTGCTACATTATCAATAGGGATATCCGCCATGGAAGGTACAAATAAAATGCTAATTAAGAAGGAATTAACCCTTTGAGTACCGTCATTATAGACACAATTAAAGAACAATAGGTTGCGGTCACCGGTGTCCTCGCGATGTTTGTAAGAATGAAACAACAATTGATGCAGATGGTCAGTTCTTTATTTTCATTGATATTTTCAAGTTATTATATACATTTGCATGTTTGCTTTTTAATAGTACAAATCAATTGTTTACAGACACTGGCAGTGTACAGCTTTCCATTCCAAAGTTCAGTTTCATTTTATTTACACAGATTTATTACAAATTTTGTTGGATTACCATCCAAGTTTGTTTCCGTAAAGACCGCTACCGTAACCGGCTTGGCCGTAACCACCATATCCGTATCCACCATAACCGCCATACGCACCAGCGTAGCTGGGAGAATGCTCTTTGTAAACAGACACTGAGGATACAGCATCGCCAAGACCATTGTAACCATGAGCGCCATAGCCGAGGTTGTTGTAACCATGAGCTCCATAACCCAGGTTGTTATAACCATGAGCGCCGTACCCGAGACCACTGTATCCACCAAGAGCGCCAGAGTATCCACCTTGGCCGCCGTAGTAGCCACCATGAGCTCCGGTATCAGGGACCACTTTGGTTACTGATGTGTATGAGGTAGCTGGGCCTAAACCACCGTAACCGTAGCCGCTGCCGTATCCATAGCCGCTACCATAGCCGGCGCCGTAGCCTCCATAGCCGCCATAGCCTCCATGGCCAGAGTAGCCGCTGTTGTAAAGGGCTCCTGCATGGGCCAAGCCGAAGAGGCAGATAGCGACTGCTGCGATCTGTAATTAAATAGTAATTTAGATTATTAATGTAAAGCAGGAAGTTTTAGTTAGTTTTAGTAAGTAGTTTCGATTTTTAGGGATTTAGTGGTGCGATTATTAAAAAATTAAATATCAAATAGTTACTTTAATATAACAAGTGTTTGAGTAAGGTCAGTATCAAGAATAGCTACCTATACCATTTTTATATAAATATGCGCTTTTATATTTATTTTAAAGCTTAACATTTACAATAGAGAATACTGTTTTCATTAAACAATTAGCACTCAAAGTAATTTGCAATTTACTCTTATTCAATTAAGACATAAAATTGAAAGAATGTAATTAAGACTTAAAGACTATATTACCTTTGTGAACATATTGCTGGTATATCTTCAACGATGATGAGTTGAATGTGTTTCAAGCTATTGTTTCACTCTTTTATATTAAAAACGTAGGAAACAAACTACTCTTATTCAAGGTCTCATTAGATTTTGAGAAAAACGGAGCGTGACGGATTTAATTAGACTTACGTTTTAATGCAGTATTAACTAATATATTGACTGGAATCTTGCACACGATTCTCTGCTCTACGACGATAATGATTAAGTTGAGAGTTCTGTGAACGTTCAAGATAAAATCTTTATTGTTTTATCTTGAGAATGGTTGTACAAGGGTTGGCATTAGTGTAAAAATACAAAATACGTTGTAATTATTAATTAATTACGTTTAAAAATTTGATATGCGATAATTGTTGTGTTTAATATTTTTTTTCTTATATTTTGTTTGTTCGATTATTCGAATAGCAAAGAGATTTAAATTAAATCCGTTAATCACATTTCGTAGTTAAAATTAAAACTTCTATTGTATGCAGATGAGACATAAGTCAGTATGTCCTTGTCTTAGTAAAAGACAATCCATTGACTGAGAGCACATTTGTTCATAGGTTAACTTATAAATGGGACGTTAAGTGATAAAGGTGCATTAATGTCATAAAATGTCCCGGAGAACCTAACGGATAACCGGGGCTCCGGCTCGACGTGCAGGAAAAGGAACGGTGTGGTTTCTAGACAGTAAGTCTGACATTCCCTCCCGCCTCACCCAGGCGGGAGCAGTCATTCGATGATTTTCCCCACATAAAAAAAATATCTCATAAAATAATTCCTTGTGAAGAAATGACTGCACGGTTGGCGCGGTGGCTGGTCGCGGTTTCGATTCCCGGAACAACTCTTTGTGTGATCCACAGATTGTTGTTCCAGGCCTGGGTGTCATGTGTGTGAACTAGTATGTTTGTAAACGCAACCACGATACAGAAGAAAATCCTAGTGTGGGGCAATGTTTTAAAAAAAATACTTTGAATGAAAAATCTGTAAGTTACAGTTAATTTTAATATTTTATTTGAGTATTTGTGTATATCTAAAGAGTTAACTCGTTGAGTACCGTCATTATAGACACAATTATAGAACAATAGGTTGCGGTTACCGGTGACCGCTTGGTGTTTGACAGTTTAAATAGATATCAAACCGTGAGACAGATCTAGTAAGTAATATCATTGTCTAAATTAAAGTGATTTAAATCTTTGTTACGTTTGAATTTACTAAGATTGATTGTCAATTGTAACAGTCAATTGTGAATGCCTCGTTGGCCAAGTGGTCGCAAATGCGACTGCCGGGCAAGGGGTTGCGGGTTTATTTCCAGGGTCGGGCAAAGAATCACTGGGTTTTAAAAAAAATCTCAGTAGTAGCAGAAGTCTGGAATTGAGCTCAGTATATGGCAATAGGCTCACCCCCTATTACATGGGACTCATAACATAAATAGTGAAAAGTGGGTGTTACATTGTACCGTGGCATTAAGTGCCGTAATGTGCACCTCTGCCTACCCCTTCGGGGATAAAAGACGTGATGTTATGTTATGTAATTAATGAAGTTTAATTTCATAATTTCACCCTCTATTACATAAGTTTCATACCCTATTAATGTAACTGGTAACGTGAATAGCAGGTATTTCATTCTATACTATTTTATACCATCTCTACTTACCGGCTTTGGGCTGAAAGGCGTAAAGTTAAGTAATTATGTGTGTATGAAGTTCCCACGTCTGATTGTAAACTAACAGGATAAATTTTAGTACGAAGCAATTAGTATAACGCTTTAGCGATAGTAAAATTTGGAAGGATTCGTGATGCAGAATTGATTGACTTTAAAAGATAATAATCTGAGTTAAGCCACTGTCTGAGGCAAATGATAGAATATGCAAACACATGGAAATCATTAAATAACATCTTCGTTAAATATTTGCCTAATAACTTCCATAACTTCTGCTAGAGTGTATGTAATTATGTATTCTATTTGGGAATTTATAACATAACATAACATAAAATAACATAACATAACATAACATCACGCCTTTTATTCCTGAAGCGGTAGGCAGAGGTACAATGTACTAACACCCACTTTTCACTATTTAGGTTGTGAGTTCCATTTAATAGGGGGTGAGGCTCTTGCCATATACCGAGCACGATTCCAGACTCCGTGCGTACCGAATTTTTTTAATAACTGTATTACTTTGCCCGACCCGGGAATCGAACCCGAGACCTCTTGCCCGGCAGTCGCATTTGCGACCACTCGGCCAATGAGGCAGTGGTATAATATGTATAGTAATTTAAAGTAGGTCTTCGTAAACACAAGACATTGCATTAATTAGTAAAATGTCATAAATGAATAATACAAATCGGTAATTGTTTTGTGTGGCATAGTATTGGCAGGAAACATCACCTAATACATAAAATGCTTAAAAGTATATAAGCTTTCAAGTTTTTCAATTTCCAAATTCTCGGGGTACGTCATAATGCAATTGAAAAAAATAACCCGACGATACCTACACCACGATTACCTGTACATCTTTGTTTGTGGGTGTTGTGACAGAATGTTTTGAGGTAAGGGTTTGTTTTCAACAGTAAAACTGTATCAAAAAATTAAACAAAATTTGACTTATATAGGCACAAGTTTATTAAATAACCAGGTACATAGAACAGTAATTTACATTTGCTATAAATTAAAACAGTCATACGATACACAGAAAAAATAAAATATTTACAATTTCATTCTAATATGGTATTCATTGTACAAAACAAATTTTTTGCAACAGCTTACCAGAGGTATTTAGAGCCGTGACCGTAGCCGGAACCGTAGCTGGAACCGTAAGCGTAACCAGATCCGTAGCCATGGCCCGAGCTGTAGCCGTGGCTACCGTACCCAAGACCGCTGTAGTCATGACCTCCGTAACCATGGCCGTATGACACGGTGTAAGGCGCATATGCTGCATAAGAAACTGGGGCTACATAAGACTTTACAATAGGTGATGAATGTACTTGGTAGCGAGAGACAGTAGAGATCGCTGGGGCGTATGATCAGTGGCGTGCACACCATACATGCAAATAAGCACTGCATACCCTACAAAATCATGGTAAACCTACATAGTCAAATACATAGTGTCACTCATAAACACGACATGAATATTCACTAACATCATACAGAGATTTCGTAATTTTATTGATACTTAATTTGAAAAACTGGTCACTAACGCCATCTATCGAAAAAATATTGAAGTACTACAACCACTTTCTACTTTCTTCGATATATTGAAGCATTGCGCCAGTGGCGCCGCCACCTCGCTATTGTGTGATGGTGGCGGAAGCATGTACTAATGCGTAGCCGGTACAATTTGCTTGTTTTCTCGTGCTGATGTTGGATTTTTTTTTTGTTAGGTTGGTAATTTCTATACAACTGCAAAAGCACTGCTTCTTCGTTATCCGACTAATTTAAGAAGTCAACAAAACGTAGCGTTTGTTGATTGAAAATAGATATATTAATTTTGGTCAACTTATTGTTTACGTTTTTTTTGGCCATTTTGTTTTGGTTATGTTTTTATGTGCAAGTGAATAAATTGTAATGTAATGAATTATAATTTAAATGAACTGTTAATTTACCGAAAATTATGTAAAATTATAGCTGTGAGCTCTGTGCTGGTGATTTGTGTTGTTCAATAAATTCAATATGAGTGCGTTGTCCTTATTGTCGTTCGAAGAAGAAACGAAAATATTTCCAAAGGCGATTTTGCGTGTGTCGTATGTCCGGGCTAGGCGTAACTCAAAAAAGGTAATAATTTTATTATTTCTTTTAATAAACTACGATTTGCGATTATAGGTATAGTTTGTTAGCACTGGTTGTGTACCAATTTCATTATTGTTTTTATAATCCAGTCATCTTGATCTCGCTTTGTACGATTTTTCTATGCATTTAACGGTCAGTTTATACTGGTGTTGCATAGCTTGATGTGTTACCATTTGTACTTCGCCGCTCCAAAGTAGGTACCTAGTTAATAGATTTGTAAAATAGATACCTAGGTATCTATGTTGATCAACTTTATACACGGATAGTTTGAAAATAATTATGTACCTAATTTGTTTATACAAATTAGCTACTAATAATTACCTACTCAAAATTATGATGTTTCGGGAGTTTTATTTTCCGAGATTAATGTAGACCAAATTTTTTTTAATCATGTGATACCTTCTGCCTACCCTACTTCAAATCTCTGTGCACGCCTCTGCGTATGATACTGCAGGAACGACTGCCTTAATAACGGGAGCTGCTACTATAGTCTTAGCCACCACTGGAGCAGTGTACGCTGGGGCCACGTAGCTAGCGTAGCCACCGTAGCCGTGTCCTGATCCGTAACCGATGTCTGAGCCGTAGCCTAAACCTGATGCGTAGCCCAGGCCACTTCCATGCCAGCCGCTGGCGCGGGTCAGGCCAAATAGGCAGAGAACGGCAACGAACTGTAACAAATAAATACATTAAATTAATTTATATTGTAAGCTTTTATCGTTGTTGAATTAGTTAAATTGTGCAAAGTATGTATACCGAAATTGCAATTTGCACTGAAGTGCAAAATATGCACACTATGAAATAAAATCAACGGTAAGTACGTGAATTCGTTTTGAAAGAGTATCGAAGGACCACAAAGCTTAAGGATACCTACGCAAAAAAAGTCAACAATATATTTTGTTGCCCTGATATGTTATCTCAATAGTAACAAGCGACTTTCTTTTCGAAAAGAGTTTAAAAAAAAATACTATGAATCAAAAAAGTATTTATCTTTCTGCGTCCTAAACCATTACAATATCCAAACTAGACCTATTTCTCACAACTATGACTTAACATCTTGATAACCGAATAGCGTGATGACACGACATTTAGGCTACTTTAAAAGTAGGGCCATATCTTGGCCCGTCTGCCGTCACCGGTCGTTAGGGAACTTTCGAGGCCAAAACCTTGACAATTGCGAAACCAGACGCATGCAGGTGACAGTAACAAGACAATCCTACGTATGTACCTGCATTAATAACATAGCAATCATCTCTGTAATGTCTGCTTGAAATTATACTCTTTATAGGATGGAGGAAGAGTGTTAAGTGTTTTATTTACAGATGTTGTGGAAATAATAATTATTATTTTTTTTCTTAAAAAAGACGTTGCCCCACACTAGGATTTTCTCATGTGTTGTCGGTGCGTTTACAAACATACAAGTTCACATACACAATGACACCCAGACCCGGAACAACAATCTGTAGATCACACAAATAGTTGTTCCGTGCGGGAATCGAACCCGCGACACGTTCCGCGGCAGTCAGTTGCCCAACCACCGCGCCAACCGTGCAGTCAATTTTGCAAACTAAGTTTAAAAATAATCAACTTCAATCTTCTCTTTTTTGAAGTCAGTTAATTAATGTACTAAAACTTTCGCCTACTTGTAACAAGCTTTTAATAAACAAATTTCTGAAAACCGCGTCATAATCAGTTCAGCAAATTGTGAGATAATCGCGCACAAACATACATGCATGCATTTTTTTTAAGGGGGGAAAATTATCGAATGTCTGCTCCTGCCTGGATGAGGCGGGAGGGAGTGTCAGACTCTTACTGACTAAAAACCACCCCGTTCCTTCTCCTGCACTTCGAGCCGGAGCCCTGGTTACCCGTTTATTGTATCCATAAAATGTCAATTTTTTTGTTTTAAACTTCAATATTCACAACGAGGTGTTATTTTAACCGGCTTCAAAAAACGGAGGAGGATGCACCGACTTCTAACCCATCAGTGGGTGGGGTGGGTAACCTATCATAACTAATAATAGTTATTTTTAGCTTTTTAGTTTTTCCTTTTTATTTGTTATTAGTTTTTGGTTTTTTGTAGTCGGTATTTTTGTTTATACATACTTAAAGCGTCTATTTTTTGGTTTAAACAATAATGAAAGCATGTTAACCTTATAACTTGATGATTTTTCATAGTAATGTCTTAAAATTTTGTGCTAACTTCAACCTACTACACCTTTAGGCGACAGGATGATAAAACAACTCACCATATATTCTATTTCATAACAATAAATGCTAATGTTGACTGACCTAGGCTACGCTTTTACTTAAAAGTTAATCCTTACTGTAATAATCGGAAAGTGAGTTTGTTAGTTTGTTCCACTTTCACGCCGTAACTACTAAACCGATTGCTTTGAAATTTTGCAGACGTAAAGTTAGAGGTCTGGATTAAATAATAGGCTTTTATCCCGGAAAAATTAATATTCTCGAGGGGAAACGAAATTATTCGAATAGATGGCGCTGTGTGTATTGGTATATGTAACATAGGCTACTTTTTATCTTTTTGTGACGCGAGCAAAGACGCGGGTAAAAGCTAGTTTTACAATAAAACAACAACAATTCATACATCAATATTCACATACCAATATCATAATACTATTTAAATCCACGAAAATTAATTTATTTGATAATAAGGCTTGAGCAATAATGCAGTGGCATTAAATAAAAAACAGCTGTGACAGATTGGTTTCGACAACAAGGACTCAAACTGTTACGCAAATTACCTAGTGTTTGACACGTGTAAGCTTAAATCTAGATATATGGTTTAGCTAGACTTGATTCGTGAGAAACCTAGTCTATCTATATATATAAAAGAAAGTCGTGTTAGTTACACTATTTATAACTCAAGAACAGATATATCGATTTGGATGAAAATTGTGGATGTAGCTTAGAACCAGGAGACGGACATAGGATACTTTTTACCCAATACTTATTTTTTACTTTTAACCGAAAGTCTAGAACGGGTACGGGAAATATCGGGATTGCGCGTACGAAGTCGCGGGCAGAAGCTAGTATTCTATAGTTCGTTACGTCATGATTTCTATTTGCAAGCGAAATTGAGCTGAAATAACATTATTTATAATGTAAGTATTAACTCTAGTCGTTTATTTGATTTCTCTATCAAGTATG